AACATTGCAACATTCATCGCAATGTATAGAAAAGCTGCAGTGAAATCAGGCATTTCAGTCCGCACCAGCCTGTGAAATCCTGGAGGGACTTCCTATTAACTCACCCAGTGTTGTGCATGAATGCGCTAAAAAAGTTTCAATGAACATGCTCATATTTTTGGTAAATAGTGAACTGAACGCATCAGTGTCTAACTTTTTGAACTTATCCATGAGCGTTGTTCATCCTCGTGACAGTTAACAACACCCTTTGCAGCACCCAGCATGCCAGCACAACAACACTGATGCTGAAGCCAGCTCATATGGATATTTGGAGGTCTTTTATAAAGAAATCTTTAAGTCTCAGATGCCAATGGAAAAAAATCTCACATTTACATGGGATTTTTACCTGTCGGGTCAAGAAAAACAAGTCAGACGATAAGCCACACACACAGCGTCAGACCAGTTTCTGGAAAAGTCTGCGAATACAGTAAATGATGATCACAATATTTGATTTAACTTAAAAAAGTGTAAGACATGAAGGTAAACTGGTTCATTTTTGGGACTGTGAACTCAGTTTAAAATTCAAATTGTGAGCTATGAACATGAACTAGTTTATTTAGTCTATGTGAGCTGAACTTTGAGCTAGCTCTTGTAAAGTGTGAACATGCACAACAGTTGTGGCAAATATAAGTCCTAAATTTACTTTCCTCTTAGCTCTGTTTTGGTCTCCACCTACCCCTGAGAAAAATATCTGGCTATTTCAATTCAAGTCAATTCAGTCAACTCATTGTTATTCATAAAGCCCAATATCACAAGTTACAATTTTATTGTGATTTGTGATATTGTAGGTATTAATATTTAGCTGCTAAATGTGTCACTTTGTTTAACAGCTGCTTGCTAATTTTTCTCTCTCTTTTGGTTGGTGCAGGTCAAGTAGCGTTCAGTGAGTTTATCTGAGCATTTTCACTAAAAACAGCTGTCTGCCGGCAACAGGGTTGATAAAAGCAGCGAGACTGAACCCAAACACTAAACTTGGGTGGTGCGCAAAACAAAACAATGAGATGAAAGAGGTCAAACACTCTGTAGAGTTTAGGAGAATTGCAGTGTAGCATTAAATATTCATGACTAAATAAGCAACAAATAAAGTCAGTGTTAGGAAAAATGCATTATTAGTTATTATTTGATGCAGGTTTTAACTCAGTGTCTCTTAAGTTAGGACTGTGTGGGTGTAACTGCATCAGATTTGGTAGGCATTGTAGTAATATGAGCAAACTGCCCAAAAACTGTCATCGCATTCTTACTCATATTCTCATATTGTTAAACTCTTACTGGTGCTTGAGTTGGAGGTTTTTTTTTTCGTTCTTTCTCCAACAGAGCCCCGCCCTCTTGAGCTCAAACAAAACACAAACACAGAAATCAATACAAACATGAATAAATACATAAATCTGTAAGGTAAAATAACCAATATTGCAAGTCTGGTAGATGACAGTGTGCTGATTGTAGGAAACATATCGCCTCTTTGTTCATATTACATACTTGTACAAAATTACTAAGATGATGCATCACAGCAATTCAAATGAATCAAAATATAGATACATTTATAGTTACAAGAAAACATGTCAGTTTAATCCTCTCTAAGCCCTGTTCGTATCCGATGCCTATTGACAAGCAAGTAATTCTCTGTCAGCTCTGCAGTCTCAGTATTGAGCTACTTGGGATTCATCATGGGGCTCTTCTATCCTATAAGCTTCTAGTATCCATCTGTCTCTTATTTGATTTCCAGTTTATATTTGACATTTTGAACGTCACTGTCTTGCAATCCTTCAGCTACAATAAAAGCAACAGTCTTCACACCCTGACCAAGAATACTTTCAACAATACCCCCCGCGGTGCTTCGAAGGGCGAAAAGAAGCCTTAATGTTTCATTTGCTGTGAGTGTTTTGCCTTATCTGTAAACAGGTGGCAGTCACTGTGTTTGTCTGTTGTCTTTGTTTGTAGCCTTGTACTCGTCTTAAAATAAAGGAGAGAGGGAAACAGGCAGAGCATAACTCAGGAAGGGTAAGATATATAATACACTGAACGATGCATTTGTGTTGCACGGTTGAGCACAACCCTTGTGGTGTGGCAGTCATCTGTAAGTTTAGGAAAGTGGTTTAATTCAACACCCTGACTGGAAAAATGTGGTTAAGAAAAATGAGCTAAACTCTCCACATTACCAAATTGAATTGCGGTCTCAAATTCCCCCTCTAAACTTCAAAACTAAATCTAAATTCAGCTTCCCTGAACAATTTTGATACAGAGTTCGCTGGATGCCTCTTGCATTACCGTCAGTTCGGGACGATGTAACCAGTGGCACTTGTTACCAGCTGAGATGCTTGGAGCAAAGGATCCATTTTTAGCTAGCTAGCTGTCACTGTATCCTGGACTAGTGTTTCCCAACTGGTGGGTCGTAGGTCCATTCTGAATGGACCGCAAGTGACTTGCTTACATATCAAGTTTGTAAAAAACACACTTTATTTTTAAGTACAATTAATTTCCGGCACAGAGTTTTTATTTTGAAGTGCCGTTTCTTGCTGTACAGTGAGTGGATAATGGACAGCAAGCTAGCTCAACAATGTGGCCAAATGCTAGTATGACGCTGAATGTATTGAACTGTGTGGACCTTGAACTAATGGCTAAGGAGAAATCTGGACCAAGTAGCTGGACTAGTTGGGAACCACTGCCCTGGACGACACGGGGGAAGTACAAATTCAACGAAAATTAGCTGTTTAACCAAGATTTTGTGACATGGCTGAAACTTGTACAAGGCAATGAATACGAGGCTTGCCGTCTTTTATGCAAAACGTTTTTCAAACTTGGCACGATGGGAATCAAAGTAGGGGAATTCCACACGCAGAGTAAGAAATACAAAATTGCCAATAAAACCTGCAAACAACTGCCACATATTTCTCAGTTCTATTCTAACCTTGTCTTTGCCACAAGACCAAAAATTTGTTCGATGTCACAATAAACATTTGAGCAAAATTGTCCCTTAACCTACAGTAAGTAAAAGATGTCAGTTAATGATTTTTTTTCCCTTTAATGTTGGTTATTGTAAAATTGGTCTTGTTAATTAATCGTTTAGCTTAGAGGACGTAATAAAAATTGTCCATCACAGTTTATCTAGAGCCCACACTGACCCCCAGTTTCCACATACTCTTTCTGCGCCGCGCTACGCAGCGCCGTGGATCTGGAGCGACCGACGGGGCGTACCCTCGCCTACTGGATGCTTTTCTGGAGCGCTGCACCGTGTAGCGGAGCTGCAAGCTCACACGTGGAAACTGCGAAATGACGCAATAAAAAGCACCATTCATTCCCAAAACTCCTGCAGTTTCACACCAGGTCTTCTCCTTTTGGTTTGTATCCTTGTAGAAAGGAGTGTGGTGTCAAAATACTATGGTTTTCCACCTTTCCTCGGGCCCTCGCACTGAATGACAACTTGTGCGACAGGCTGTGACGTGATGTTAAAAAAACAACATCAACAGAGTTGACAAACCGTAGTCTGCGCATTGTGTTGTGTTTTGAAATTTCCCGGATGCTGTGTGCGTTCGTTTCCGGTTTGGTCCGATCTGAGCTTTGTGGCATGACATGCAATGGACGCGCAGTCGCTGAAAAATAGACCTGGTGCGTATCTCCGACGAAACAGAGTGCCGTGGCACTTTCGGGACGCTCCAGGGACGCTGCATGGCGCTCACTGTTGAAATGAAGCTAGTTACTAGAATGGTGCAGACGGATTATGTGGAAATTGGGGGTGACATCTTTAAGTTGCTTGTTTTATGCATCCACAACACAAAGATATTTGATTTCCAACAATACAAAACCAGTCACAGCAGCAAATCCTCGCATTTGAGAGGCTGGAACAAGTGAATGTTTTTCGTTTGTTTTTTAATAAATAGAGCAACTGATCAACTAATTCAATTTATCAACTAATCACTTCAACATTATTGTGGTTTAAGACCTCAAAATGTTTTAATTGAAATGTATCACTGCCAGACTGCAGCTTTAAACACCTAACTGCATGCACAAAATATACACCTTCCTTAGCTTCAGCCAGACAAGTAAGCCAGTCTGTTTTATTTTACTTCTGTCAAACATTACGGCAGAGCTTTAAAAAAAATGCATTTGTTTGCAGAAGGAATACTTCACTGTGATGAAAGCTTTGTTTGCATAACTATTATTGTTTTCTCTCCACAACTGCTTCTTTGTCAAACTAATGATTTCCTTCCCTTTGTCCATGAGTCCACAGAGGGAGGTGCATGCAGTACACACTGACAGAGAAAGAGGAGAAGCTGCAGTGTTTTCACTGAAAGTCAGTTTTTCACAGGCTTAGTGAAATGTCTTGTGTGTCAGTTCAGTCAAACACACAATCCCTGAACCTTACAGCATTATCTCCTAAAGACAGCTGTGCTGAGGACCTCTGACTTCCATGTGCTTATATGGTCTAGCTCAGTCCTCCCCCTCCACTTTCTCTGCAAATGGTACAGTCCATTTAAAAAGGTGCTTGTCATCTCTCAATGCTCTGTGTCCTTTCAACAGTCAGCTGCAGGGAGCACATTTCACAGGGGCAGTGCTGGCTCTCCAACACACACACAGACACACATATACACACACACACAAACTCGCATGCTGTTACGGAACTCTCACGCACATAAACTCACACAGGCATGCTCGCACACTGACACACTCACACCACAAACACACACGCACACACACAGACACACACACACACACACACACACACACCAGCTCCAAAGCGTACACTCCTTCCAGCAGATACACATTTCCCCTGAGCTGGATGCCTCTCTTTAAGGGAAAGGACAAACTGCTTTGAGGATTTAACTTGGCTTCCTTCTAAAAAAAAAGGGAGCGAGAACAGACAGCAGAGGAGAAAGAGGAAGGATTTATTTGGGGACACCTTCCTTCACAGGAGATGTACAACTTGTCAGCATGACACCTTGTCTGGATTCCCCTCTCCTCCTCAGGCAAAAATCCTGAAAATGATGGATGACAACAAGCAGTTGGCCCAGCGCATCGATGGGGCCATTCAGTCCGCCAGCCAGGAGGTGACCAACCTGCGCTCAGAGCTGAGCGCAACCAGCCGCCGACTGGCCGAGCTGGGGGCAACCGACTCTGCCAGAATGCTTGAGACCCTGCAGCACAACCACAACGGTAGGAGAGCAGCTTGGAGAGAGAGGAGTGAGAATAACTGTGTGCTGCGAACATGTGGAGAAGGATGAGTACGCTCTGATGCAGCTGTCTGTAGTCCTGCTGTGTGTGCACGTGTGTTTCTGCATGCAGTGGGTGATGTCAAAGAGTCAGTTGTAAAAGCTTCCACTTATGCTGCTATCCATGGGAATAAGTGTATGTTTAAAAGTCAGTAAGTGAGTGGATGAGTTGAACAAAAGAGGTGAGGGGTTTCTGCTGGCTTGTGTCCACTCTCAGTTCTCCCACAAATCCCTTCTCATGTTGAATAATTAACCTCCTGAACCTTTAAGAGGGGGGTAGTGCTGCACTTTAGTAAGGGCAGAGTGGGTAAAGTTACAACCTCCTTTCACTCTCGGGCACTCTGTCTGCTAGTTCATTCGGTCCTCCCTTAACTGGGCAATGGATCTGTGTCTCTTGAGGAGGAAGGGAAAAGGGGGCTGGTTTTAGGGTTGCCGTGGGTTACTGTTACCGAGAGCTGCTTGAATGGCTGCCCAGTCTGTAGAATGCTGTCCCCTGTGTGTGTGTGTGTTTGTGTGTGTGTGTGTGTGTGTGTGTGTGTGTGTGTGTGCTGCAGCTGCTCTGTTTGCCCTTTTCCAACTTTTTCACACAGAGTTTGACACACAGATAGGTAACAGATGCATGTTTTTGTGCCTGTGTACATGCATAAGCATGTGTGGCTAAATTAGCACGTGTGGGTATGTGTGCCCATGGGCTGTCATGTCCTTTCAACTTCTGGCACACACGTACTGTCACACTCTTGCCGTTTCCATAGCAGTCAGCTGGTACAGCGAGCTGCCTGATAGGATACATTCCATCTTGGCTTCGGGAGCACTCGGCTTTGAAACCACATATCTCTCAGATACTTCCGAGATCAAGCTCAGTTAAAGGTCTGCTGTATTTCCTCTCTCACATTCACAAGGAAGAATGTGTTGGCGAGCTCTCCTTTCACAATGACAGAGAGTCATTTAGTCCTGAGTTGACCTCTGTAGTGTTTTTTTTAAAGAGGAAAATGTGAACGCAGACTGCCTTACACAGCTGGTCAGACAGAGTTTGGTCATGTGTCAGCATTGTTTTCAATGGACTGCCCCTGTCGCTTTGTTTTTCAGTTATTTCTCTCTGCTCGTGTGTGTGTGTGTGTGTGTGTGTGTGTGTGTGTGTGTGTGTGCCTTGCAGTATCCCTTTAACCCTGATGCATGCTCACACTCCTGCTGTTTCCATAGCAGTGTGTGTTCCAGTGTGAGTGACGACAAGCATTCCTCTGGGAGTGTTTGAGCACTGATGTCATTGTCCCTTGTAGCTGCTTCTCTGCTCAGCTGAAATGATGCCTGAGGTGTGCATGTTCAGTGGTGGAATTAGGGATGAGACTATATACAGTTTGATCGCAGATCACGATAAAAAACACCCACAATAAGTTGATTGTGGTGAATTTCCATTATCAGGATAAACATGAATATTTTGTCCAGCACCCCTCAAAGAGACTACTGGACAACCAACAATAAAAGAGACTCTGCAAAGTATCATACTCTAGCATTGCTGTATTTCATATTGAAAGATTTGATGCCACTGAAAGTATTTGAAAAGCCTAGCTTTTTAAAAACCTTTTTTATTTTTTTATTGGGTTTTTGCTTCAAGATGAGCATTTAATAATTTTTTTTTTTTTGCTCCGAGATAACATTATCTTCTCTCTGCTGCTTGGAAGAGGTGAATTTATAGCAAACAAAGACTTAATACAACAGTCTTTGGCGTTTTGTTTGATATCTAGCATCAGCAAATGTTGTTGCACATTTCTGATCTGTCATTAGCATTGTTGGATTGTTTACTCTATCACATGAATGCCGCTGTCTCAGTGAGGGTCCCGCTGAGCCTGTTCAAACTATCAAACTTTATATGGGGAAAAAAATGTGGAAAATTCAAATTCAACTGACATAATTCTGGGTCGGGTACAGCCCTAGATTATACAACATGTATCTTTCATAGCGTGCCATCAAGGAACAAAGACATGTTTTTATATAGAAGTGGGAACTGGCCCCGCTAGACCCAGAACAATAACACGTACATAATAAGGGATGTTCAGCAGCACAGTAATGTTGTGCCTCTACTTGTTAAAACAAAACAAGACAAAAAAATCCCGAAATATTCACACTTTCCTCCTCAACAATTAATTAGGTTAGAATATCTGAAAACTAAATTTTTTGCTATTAAATCAGTGAGAAAAGGGCTCCAGTCCTTGGCAAATACATTGAACCTTCCATGGAGAGACAGTGCTATTTATTTTTACTTTGTCAGGATCAGTCTCCTAGCCAGTAAAGTGGTGAAGGTGATTACTTTATTAGTTTGGGGTAAAGAGAAAAACAAGTAGAAACCCCAAAGAGAGCACTGAAAGTGTTAGGGTAAATCTTCTGGCCCAGTAATTCAGACAAAGTATTAAAAATTATTGACCAGAAGTTAAACAAGGGGTGACAGAGCCAAAGCGTATGTACAGTATAAGGATATGTTAGCGTTGGTTAAGTGTGGTGCGCCACTTTAGATTGTATCAAACCATGATTCGCGCTAGAGATGATCCGATACTACTGTATTTGTCCCAGTACAGATTCTGATACTTGAACTTGCATATCGGCTGGCAGATACTGAGTACTGATTCAAAGCCATTGTGTTGGGGGGGAAAAAAAGAACAAGAATAGCTGTATACTACTAACCTTGTAAGAATGTGAAATGATTGAATGATTGCTATCATTGTTGAATGGCATGGCTCAGGTTAAACCTATACATGTCCAGTGTAAAATATTGCCAAATTGCTGACATTTTGCTAGTGCCTAATGTTACATTATTTAAAACAGTAGTTGCCAGTGGCTGCACAGTGCAACTCTTTGTGTAGGCTGCTGTTTAAGAGCGGGGAAGAAGAATAGAGTTTAGGAAAATTGCCATTTTATCCAGGTGTGAAACTACTTTCAAGGTAATTAATAAATGATACAGTATTGGCCTGATGCATAGCACGTACTTGTCAATACCCAGTCCAGCATTTTAGGCAGTATCAGAGGCATTTCCAATACTGGTATTGGAACAACTTTACTTTGTATGAACAGAGGAGCTTTGTACCCTTCCATGAGTCTTACCCCAGACCTCACGCAATATGTTCTCTCCCAAATCTGTCTCCATTGATAATGTAATTGAAGGGAGTCTATGTCTGAGTTATAAGCCTGGCTTTTGAAGATTGTTCGATTATTTGTTTTTCAATAACTTTCACTAAAAAATGACGTGTCCTGCAATAAAAACATTTGTTTCTTAAAAAAACGTAAGGTAAAGTGATTCCAGGATGTCTTAGTGCCATTTGAAGAGTTTCAAGTTATTTTGATGACATTGTGAATCACAATTTGTTGGCCAGGATAATTGTGACATGAAACTTACTTACCATCCCATGCCTAGGTGGAATTACATTAATCTTTGGAGAAGATTCATATAACTCATGTAAAGACCACATTAACATCACAGATGCTGCAGAAAAAGACTGTCTGACTGGTCCATTCTTAAAATGTTTCCGAAATGATACACATTAAGAAACTGACACCTATCTGTAGATCTCTCTCGAGATGGATTCTGCCAGGCATAATTGTCTAGAAATACAGTGCTAAGTGGTTCTGAGTGCCCCTTTTTTCATCATCAAAAATGACACATGCTCACGTCCCTTTGTTACCGAAGGTTATGGTGGCTGATTCCCGCCTTTGTTTGGCCTGTATATCTTCCCACTGTCATTGTGTCTCTGTCAATAAGTCTTTTTTTTCCTTCACTTCACACCCACCTCTCACTGTCTGTTCTCAGTCCCCCTTTCTCTCCTCCTAGCTGCTCTATACAAGCCCAGGGTGTATAATAGAAACAGCTGGGGATAGGGGGATTAGGTAATTTATCACCAGTGGCTGTGTTGGGAAGGGAGGTGTGTGCTAAGGGTCGCTGGTTCATTGCACAGCCAGCAGAGTGGGAGTCCTGAGGGAAGATGTGCTGGGGGTGCTACCTGGCACTTCACTACCAGCAGCACTAACCTTGCTAGCAGGCTAGCTTACCTTAATTGCATTTCTACTGCCTGGGGGTTTACATTTGCATGTTACATTCATGCCAGCAACAGGAAACGTTAGGAATAAATGGGAATACTTCACGCATTATCTTTCTGTGATGGTCTGTGGAGAGATATATGCTCATAGTTGTTTCTAAAGCACATAATATACAGCCTCCACAATCTCTTACTCAAACACTCTCGCACCTTGTCTATATCTTCTGAGCTCAGTAGTATCCTCATGTGGTAGTTCATGAGCTTCCCCCTGGACTTTAATGGACTACATTTAACTTTGCTGTGGCGCTATGGGGCTGCTTATATAGAGAAATGCTGAGCAGCCATAAAACTGGCTCAAAACTTCTGCCCGTGGCCCCAATTCGCGCCGTTCTCATTTTCTCTTTGTGTATGGGAGAGAATGTCACGTCGAGCTCCTCTCTGGAAATTGGAAGAGTGAATGAGAAGCCCATTCTCGTGCTCATTCTGCCACATATCAGCCATATATTTCTTTAGCTAGAGGTATTTCTGAAGTGTCTTTCAATTTACTTTTATAAGGTTTTCAGTAATGGCGGTGGTGGACAAGAAGCTTTTTATTCAAATTGCGTCAGATTTAGAATGAAATGCTTCTTACAGCCTATTTCATAAAGGTGCGTACAGGCTCCAGTTTGTGTACGACTCACACACTCAAACCACGATTATGCATGCTAGATCCACTGTGGTTACCTTGATTGTATCTGGCACGACCAACACAGAGCACCCTTCTGTGGTGTTGTGCACATCAAACTGGTTGGTTTTATCTTTGTATTCTACACAGTCTCTCAGTGTATGCTGTGCAAATCAACAGGAGTGTAACAGATAGTGACATCCTCAGAATGCATGCAATAGTGGAAGGCCTGTGGCTATGATGAGCCACATGCTGCCG